CATCCGAAAGACCCTGGCCCTGGACAAAACCGAGCAGGAGGCCCTGGACTATTTCATGAAGCAGATGAATGACGCTCACCATGGTGGATGGACCACCAAGATGGACTGGATCTTCCACACAATCCGACACCATGCCCAAAACTGAGCCGATGCCCACTGGCAGAACTTAGGGCCGGATAAGATAACAGGCAGAAATGAGACCCTTTTTGTGGGACGCACTGCCTGCTTTATACCATGGAGAATCATGGCACCCAAACCTCATGTACAAATGACCTTCAGAGCACTAAAACAACCTGAAAGGACATCTTTTTTTTGTCCTCTTTTTGTTTATTTTTTTCCCAAATGAGGCATCTCTTACCCACCATTTTCCAGAGTGGTTTTACATTATAGCTGTAGTTTTGTCCCGCTGTTTTTTTTTTTTCTCTCTCCCCTTTGTGCTGCTCTTTTCCTGGAGGCGATTCTTGTTCTTCTTCTTATTATTATTATTATTATTATTAATATATATATAATTTTTTTCTATGGAAAACAAACCTTTGAGGAAAAAAAAACAACATCTGCACTCTTCAGGAGCTTTTCTGGGGATGTTCATGTCTTCCTGTTTAAAACTACAAATGCCTTCTAATATGCACGGAAACTCTGAGAACACTCTAGAAAAACAGGGTATGAAACTTTCTGATCTGCTACCTGGCCTTTCCGCTCAAAACCAACACTAACCCCCCCCCCCTGAAAGACAGCCGAGGCGTAGCAGTGCAAATCTGATGGTGCTGATTTCCAAATTGCGCTCTTATTCTTTGAGTTCAGTTGGCCACACTGGCTTTTACAATAGACGGATGATTTGTTCTCCTTTCTTCCTTATATGCACAGTGAGCTAAAATGATAGCCTGAGTACCTTATGCACTGGACGTGAATATTTTTTTGTTTTTATTACGATCTCACGTTTTGGCCGCACAGTAGCACTACATGAGTTTCATTCTCTTTAAACAGACTTTTCAGAGACATTGGTGAGAACATGGTTTGTGTTCTCAATATGCACGTAACGCACTACATTATAACAGTTCAGATCCTCCATGGAAGGAAGTAATCATTTTTTGGAGTACGGTATGGCCAGTACTGGTGGTGACGTGAGCAAATCAATGCGGGTTCATTTTTTAACTTATTTAACAACGTTTACTCCAAATATTGAGTTTTGAAACATTTGAACAATGTTTAATTTTCATCAACAAGGCTTTCGGTCTATACCCATGTTGTTAAAATGGCCACATATTGGCAAACCAATCAGTCTGGCTCATCAATATGTATATATATATCTCGCTTTATTACTAATCAGGACTTACAGTTTAATTCGTATTCGCAGATCAGTAATGTTTTCCCAGTTCCAGCGTGCGAAACATCAGATGAATCAAGGTTATCGGCTCTGTGTTCTCTTGGCTGTCCGAGTAATGATTGTCCTACCAGATGCCCTGGCAGCGTGCAGATATGAAGCCTTAATACACTCGCTTGGTATGAATGGATGTTCGTCTCCTCTATGGTCCCTTGCATGCCACAGGAAAGCAAACGCTTGTTGGTGTTTTGATGCTAAGCAGTTGCGAAAGAACAAAACAGCTTTTTATCACCTTCGGTTGAGTCGCCGTATCTCTGGGTACTTCCACTACACTAAAGCTGGCAAGTCCTTTCTGTTAGCCTATATATATTTTTTTTTACGGGTTGTAGTTTGTACGAGAAGAAGCATTAAGAAAGATTGTGCTATGTAGTTACACATTATATTGAAAGATTCTACAGACAAAATGTATGTTTTAGACGGTGAAATGGCTTTTAGATGGTTCAAGTGGATGACGCTGGTATAATATTGTTTACCGATGACACTACAGTACAGTGCATTATAACTACCGATACATCCTTATATATGTATATATATATACACACTCTGTTCCTCCTCGTCTCCTTTTTCATTACTACATACAATGTACAGTGAATGTTTAATGGTGCAGGATGTCTCTGATGTGACTACAGGGCTAAACAATCTGTAGAGAAGGGGAAAAAAGGTAGTTAGCTAATATCTAACTAATGAGCGCCTCTTGAGTCAGGTTAAGTGCCTTGCATGGGGCCGTAATGGCAGTGTTACGTTTTGCCGTCTTGAACCTCTGAGATGCGAGTCGAAACGTGAGATTCCAGACCAGGTTGTATCCAAACTAGGGCTGGGCAACGATTAATCGCGATTAATCGCATCCAAAATAAAAGTTTGTGTTTACATAATATATGTGTGTGTAGTGTGTATAATTATTTTTTATATTTAAATACACACACGCATGTATATATTTACGAAATATTTGCATGTATATATTTGATGCATATTTATACATAATTAATTAAAATATAAATATTAATATATTAATTAATTAAAATATTAATTAATTAAATATGTACATGCATGTGTGTGTTTATATATATATATACACTACACTACACAATCATATATTATTTAAACACAAACTTTTATTTTGGATGCGATTAATCGTGATTAATCGTTGCCCAGCCCTAATCCAAACAAATAATCACACAGTTAGAAAAACATTTACTCACCCTCATGTCATTCCAAACCTGTATGACTGACTTTCTTCTGCAGAACACAAAAGGAAGATATTTTGTAGAACGTCCAAACAACATTGGACCCCATTGGAAAAAGATATGGAACGACTTGAGGGTGAGTAAATGATGACAGACAGTTTTCTTTTTAGGGTTAGCGTTTGACACAGATCCACGTTTTCGCTTTCTATCCCTCCTCGGCTCTTTTCGGTTAATTCTAGCCCTTGTCATGATTCTGCATTACTTTAAAGCTGTGAAAATGTACAATTACAAATGAGGTGTAATCGTGCTATTTAAATGGATATATGGCTACTAGGCAGGAAACCCCTGAGCACTATTTTTACTCTCGCACAGTTGTATTTTCCTCAGTAGGAAAGTCAATGATCATACATGCATTATTTACCACCTGAGATATAAATGATCAGATGAAGATCTGATCGCTCTATGTAGGAAAAACAGAAGGAAGTGACGTGCGTTTCCATGTTTGCAAAGCTGAAATTCAGCTGAAATACTGGGCAACATTTAACAATGCAAATTGTAATGATAGACAGTTTGTTTTTCTACTGTTTTTAAGTTTGAAAGGGTGTCCTGAGTACTTAATATTGTAGTATTCCACACTTATGCATTCATTTGCTATGTGTTTTTTTTTTTTTTTTGTGTAAATGATGTTACTCTAATATGCAGTAAACAAATGAACAGATATACACTTGGCGTCAGACTGATGTATGCAGGTGGTTCTTGCACTTTGTATTCCTCCGTTCCTTGTTCTTTCTCTCTTTGCCTTCGGTCCTGTGGGCTCCTGCATGTGTTTTTATCCCTACCTGCTCATTTACTGCCTGAAACTGAGATCAGCTACATTAGAGCTTAGTTATGGTAAGCAGCCTTATGTTAGCTCTCTTAAAGCCATTTAATGCATGGTTCTGTTCACGATGTGTGTTTTTGTCTGTACAGGTTACAGATCTTCTTGGGCCGGACCCGCTATAAAAAGCCCATTCACAAATGTGTGATCAATATCTTTATAATTTACCTAACTTTTTTTTTTTTACGACTTGCTAACAAACTATTGAGATGCAGAAATTCTGGAGTCTTTTGTATGACAAATGAAAATAAGAAAACAATTACAATTTGTTTAATACATTTCAGTTGTTGTACTTGAAAATCTTCGCTCAGAACCGCCTTTGTGTGTCGACGACAAAGCCGTCAATGTTGCGTAGCACTGAAGGTTTACTTGCATAGGCAGTTTCATACCGATTGTGAATGTTTTAGTGGTTTTGGAGTCTTAGAAACTCTACTACACCAATAAAAAGAGAGGAAAATTACCATTTCAGTTCAAAGGAAAATAAAATGTAAATTAATGTGCTATTATGTGAAGTTTGTCAGATGGAGGATATTGAAAATTCGATATAATGGAAGTTCAAAGCATTTTTTTTCAATGCTTTGGTTACATTTCTCTCTCGGTATTGCTGTTGCATTTATTAGACTTATTTACTTGTTGAATTATGTCATAAAGATATACTTTTTTTTTTTTTTTTTTACTATCATTATTATGAAATTATATATAGCGGGCCAAATACTTTCTTTACCTCCTTCCTTCCTTGCATGGGATTTCAGAAAAAAAAAGAAAAAAAAAAAAAGGAAAAAGTCAAAAGCTGAAAAAATTTGCCCTAGTATTTTTGATTCTTTGTAGATGTAAGGGAGTTTTGGCCTATGACTGCACTCTGTAGAAACCATCTATCAACTGCCATCAGTTACAAAGCCTCATCTTCATTTCTATTCGGTTTCATTGTGCACCTCAGTTCAATTCAAGTAGCTTTGTATCCAGTCTGTCTTCAATATTTTGAGTGTTATGTGACTATGTACAAATAAACGTATTTCAAGAATTTTCCTTACTGTTTTATTTAATATGTACTGTACATGTTTGTGTATATGTATCTGAATGCCATTAACATTCACAGTTTACACTGTCAGGGTAACAGTAGCTAGACTAGAACATTTTGAGACAAATCTTGTGTATATGTGACAAATGCTTGTCTTAAAGTTAAAATAAGTTGATGGTGACACAGTGAGTCAACCGGCCAGACAAGGTTTTAACATGATGAATGTCACACATTTTACTTGTTTCATTAGTGACCCATAAATCCTTATTAAACAAACAAACCAAAAAAAAAAAATTAAAAGTTATATAAATAATTTATGTTTATATTAGATATTAAATCCGATTTTCCAGTGTGGTCTCAGAATTTGATAACTATTTTATTTAAGTAATGATTAAAAATCTTTGTTAAATTATAGCACTGATATATAACTGACAAAAAAGTAATTTACAAACAAAATAAAACGGATTTCTTAAAAAAAAATTTTTTTTTAAAAAGATCTCTACCAGAGAAAAGTCTCTACCATGTGAGCTCGATCTCTCTACCATGCGATTGCGAGTCTTTTATTATGTACTGTTCAACTTCCGGTGCGGTGATGTAGGACCAGGACGCGCAAGTGTTTAGATGTATCGTGTTTGCAATTTTCTTCTGCCATTGCAAATAATTTTTTTCCTTCAATTTTTAGTGACAGACTGCTCCACAGTTTGCTTTCAGCTGCAGTGAAGGACTTCTGGTGTCAATGCGCGTTGCTGAATGAGTCATGTGACGGCGGTAAGTGACTTGTAATCCATCATGTGCAGTAAATGTTGCATACATGCCATCCTGCAACAAGGTTCACGGATCATTCATGTATGGATTTGAATATTTAAAAGAACGTCTGCTGCAGACTTTCGTTAAAGCTGACATCTTTGAGGGTTTCTTGTTTAAATTGTCATTTGACCTGAATGACTTAAAGGGACAGTTCACCCCAAAAGAAATTACTCACCATATCGTTCCAACCGCAAGAAACATGAGATAACGTTATCTTATGTCCATTTAATGAAAGTGAATGAAGAGTTCACCAAAAATGACAAAACACACACACAAAAAATTATATAAATCATCCATATGACTTGTTCGCTATTTTCCAAGTCTTCTAAAGACATGATATATTGCATTATATCAATAAAATAATTTTCTCACTCGGTCATTCCAAACATGTATGCATTTATTTGTTCTGTGAAACACAAAATGACGAAACGATAATTTTAATTTAGGATAACTACCTATCCATTTGTAGAGTAATAAAATAAATGTATCATTTTAAACTATACTTTCCTTCTAAACTTGAACACAGTGAATGTTTGAGTAAGGGTCTTCCTGCCCTATTCTATACTGTGAATGTGGACTGGACTGTCAAGCTCCAAAAGAAAAAAAGAAAAACACAATAAAAGTTTGAAAAAAATGGTCCATTTGACAAATGATTTTAATATAAGTCTTCTGAAGTCCATATAACTAATTTTTGTGATTTTACAAAGATATTAACCACAAGTCAAGCACTTTATACAATACAAATTGTTTTAAACCTGCTTTACAGTGATGACAGGAACATTATGCTTTTTGGCCGCAGTTCAGCTGAAGTCAGTTCAGTTGTAAAGATCGTCAATTACTAAATTAGTTATTTTCAGCTGTTCTTCCAAAAATTATGTCATTGTCCAGTTCTGAACTGTCAGATAAATAATATAGCTGAATATATTAAGTGTCCTCAACTCAGCGTGATAGAAGGAACCCAAGCTTGGTGACAGAATGGAGATAAAACCCTGTGGAAAAAAAACAACAAAAAAAACAAACTTGCATCTGATTTGTTATATCAAGTGTGAAGTGACATTTTCAGCTCAGCAAATGTCATTTGATATTCCTTTTTCTTGCATTTAAGGCATGATCGGAGATTAGAGACGGTCAACAAGACGAGAAAGAAAGGGCATCCTGACCTATTTTGTGCATGTAGAAGTGGATCCATGGGTGTCCTCCGGGCCCTGTCGGTCACCATGGGAAGGATCAGCACTTTTAGGTCCTATCAGATCATGCTGCTTCTTGCCGCAGCCTTGGCCGTGGTGGCGTTCTACTACTTTGGCTCTGAAAAGCAGAACTTCTCCAGCACCACCAAGCGGATCAAGGAAACGCAAGCGAGCCACAACACAAACCGTGATGATGCGGATCTTTCCATAGACATCCGGCCCGGACGTCCAGAAAGCAGAACAGGAACTGGAGATGACCTGGAGGGAAAGCTGTCACGCTTTCATGCTCTCATGATGTTCACCAAGGTTGACAAGAGCTTGAACCTTCAGCAGAAGTTTCAGGTGGCCATGCGCTCCATGGTCAAACATGGACGCTTCTTGGAGGATGAGATGCTGGTTCTCCACTACGTCTCTGATGCGGGCAGTCAGGAGCTGGGGGAGAAGATGCTTCCTGAACTTCTGCTGGATGCAACCTTCCTGTACAAGGTATGTCAGTGGACATCAATGTTTTTCAATAGGTGCTGATGCAGCAAAGACTTTGATGTCTTTAAAATATTTGTAGTCTTAAAGGAGTAGTTCACTTTTTAAAAAACTTTTGCTGATAATTTACTCACCCTCATGTCATCCAAGATGTCCACGTCTTTCTTTCTTCAGTCGAAAAGAAATTAAGGTTTTTGATGAAAACGTTGCAGGATTTTCTCCATATAATGGACTTCAATGGGAACCAAACGGTCCAAGGTCCAAATGAGAGTTTCAGTGCAGCTTCAAAGGGCTTTAAACAATTCCAGACTATGAATAAGGGTCTTATCAAGCGAAACGATCGCTCATTTAAAAAAATTAATAAAAAAGTTTACGTTTTATGAGCACAAATGCTCGCCTTGCTCTGTTCCGTTCATGTAAATGAACTAATCTTTTTGAGTCATTTGGTTCATTCAACGAACGAAATCGACTCAAAAAAAGATTCATTCATTTATGGAGAGAAATCCTGGAATGTTTTCATCAAAAACCTTAATTTCTGTTCGACTGAAGAAAGAAAGACATGGACATCTTGGATGACATGGGGGTGAGTAAATTATCAGCAAAAGTTTTTTTGAAAAGTGAACTAGTCCATTAATATATTTGAATAATAATAAATACTATTATAATTTGGAGTTGGAATGGTTGAGAAGATGATTATAATATTAAATTGCATTGTTATAACCATAGCATATAATATAAAACATACTGTCTATATTACATATAAAATAAGAATTATATTCATATTAACAGACTTTTAGTTATTGGACATTTTTTAAAAGGGTGTTTTTTAATCCTGCTGCTTTAGTTTTGCTATCACCCTAAAATGAAGTCATCATTTACAAACCCTAGCGTATGTCCTTCGTTTATGGACCACAAAAGGAGAATTAAAATGCCCCATTTATGTTTGTCATATACTGGCAGTCAGCATCAAACTTTTTTTAAAAAGATGCAAAAGTATCACAGAATGATCCCATGCAACACATGCCGTGTATTCCAGGTGGGTTTACGATTGGGTTTAGTGTCCGAAGTTAATGGAACCGTGACTTTAAAATAAAATATCCTGCCTGAAACGATAATTTTTTTCCCCTTGTTAAAATCACAAAGGCGTTTTGTGCTGTTTGCATGCACAGCAGGTGGCAGTGCAGGAAAGCTGAACTCGGACAGGACTAGAGGTCACACCGCAGACGTTTCCTTTACATCAGCTCTCATACTGCAGTACTCCCTCAGGACCGCTCAAACTGCCTGTTGTCAAACACTTTCACACTGTATATCAGATTTTTTCAGTTCATCAAAACAATTCTGTGAACACCCGTCTCATCAAACTATTTAAGCTTAAATCAATAAAAATCGAGCGAGCTATCTGGATCTTTTTCACTGAACGATGACGGTGATTATTTTAGTGGTTAAATAGTCACCCATTTGTTCAATAAATCACACTTTAGTAAATTAAGAATAAAGTTCGGCTTTCATTGGCTGTGTGTTGGTCAGATGGGGGCAGTGTTACTCTACCATAGTGGGTTTTTGTGATTCCTCTTTGAGCTTTAGGATCTTTGGTCTGATCCTGTTGTTGAGGATTTGTCTGTGGAAGCATGAGGTAAACTTGGCCTAGTTTAGGCAGATTGGTACAGTATTTTAAGGTTAGAATATTTTCTTTATCTCAGTTGATTGATCATGTAAAGGCAAACAGTGCAACTTTTCTGCTGTGGATCATGTATCGAGCAGACAGCAGTGTTTCCTGCCTAGCAACAGTTGCTGGGCATTAGTGGAGGCTGATCCTCTATCTTGGTCTGGCGCAGTTTAGCAGGGATGCTGTGAGACTGAGGTGCAGATTACCTTCCTTTAATCCAGACTCATTCAACACACACACACACACACACACACACAATAAGATAATGAGTATTTGGCTTAATGCAACATCCGTTAATCATCATCACCCATGTGCTGCAACATTTTGATTAAAGCAGTTTTAGACACACACACACACACACAAACACACACACACTGAACAAGAGCCTATTTCAGTGGATTCGAAATTTGGATGATAATGATGAAGATTGTTGTTATTTTGAGCTGTAGCAATAGAAGTGTAGTACTGTGGATGATATATTATATAAAACTATTGTTGTAATATATATATATGTGTATATATACTTTATATATATATATATATATATATATATATATACTATGTATATATATATATATATATACACACACTTTATATTTATACACATGTATATAAATTACATTTATTTTTTATAATTTTGTTATGTAATAAAGAAGAATTAACTGTAGTAGTATTGGTAGTAATAATAATAATAATAATTATTATATATATATATATATATTATTATTACTACCAATACTACTACAGTTAATTCTTTATTATATAACCAGTGTTGGGTGTAACTAATTACTAAGTAATTAGTTACTGTAATTTAATTACTTTTCCCTTGAAAATGTAAAGTAAGGGATTACTCTTAATTTATCTGTAATTTAAATACAGTTACTTCTGATGTAATTGAGGTAAACACTGTGTATAGATCAATCTGATCTCACAGCGATTCTTATGCATTTTATGAGGTGTCTAAATATTACGACCACACTCGTACAAATTCGTATAAATTATTGTAAAATATGTATGAAAAAAGTGTGAAATGTCATTAGATCAGACATAAAACAATAGTGGGTATAACATCAAAATGTATTGTCTGATGCTAAAAAGTATGTTTTTATAATGTAACCTTCTCCACCTTGGTCAGATAAAGGATAATTCATGCAATTTTATCGTATTTATTTAAAAGAATTAAAACAGATTCATTTCTATCCTTGTATTATTCAGCTGGTTGAGACTGATATGGGATTTTGAAAGTAATTAGTAATTAAAAGTAATTAAATACTTTTTAGAGAGAGTAATTAGTACAGTAATCTAATTACACTGTTGAAGAGGTAATTAGTAACTAGTAATTAATTACTTTTTTAGAGTAACTTACCCAACACTGTATATAACAAAAAATTTTACAAAAATAATTTTTATATATATATATATATATATATATATATATATATATATATTATTATTACTACCAATTATACTACTACAGTTAATTCTTTATTATATGACAAAACATTTACAAAAATAATTTATATATATATATATATATATATATATATTACTACTACTAAAACAGTTAATTCTTTATATATAATATACAATACTCTAATACTTTTTAAAAATGTATTTCAGTTAATGTTTTATTTAAAGCAAAACAATTTTTTTTCATTTTAATTTTAGTTTCAGTTAACTATAATAACCCTGTAGTCCATTCGTATCCATGCAATTATTTTTCTACTTATTTTTTATTAATCAGTTATTTTTAGCGTCATGTTGGCATGTTGTTTTTAGCGCAGGCTGTTTTGGGCTCCAGGCAATAGACTGAACCTGTCTCGCTCTCAAAACTGCGCAGACACTGACACTGTCAGTCTGTCTGCGTGGAAAGTTCCACCATCACTGCGGGCTCGCAGACTCCCACACAGTCTCATGATGAGATGAATCCAGTATCAACTCATCAGACATGTGTTTTATCATTATGGTTTATTGAGCTCTTAGCAGAACTGAATGAAGTGTGTAATGCACAGTACACATTGCACGATTTTGGGCTGTCCCTCCCAGACCAGACGAAAGATGATCAATCACGTCCATATTCTCCTCTTTTTTTTCAAAGCGCATAAAAACCCCAATTGCCAAAGTGCGATTCATCTTGCTCTATTTTGTTACCATTGACATTTAAATTTTTCTATAACTTAGCCTATGATTCAATTAATAGGTGCCATCATCATCGTACAGACTACATACGTGGGGCATCAAAGTTTATTAGATCCATGTTGTACAGTGTGATTTGTAATGTGAGGATTGCCGAAAGGCAACATACAAGTTTGATGTTTTGCAGAATCCGGGTTTTATTCCATATTGCGGTTTGACAGCATTGGCAGATAAAGGTAGTTTATTGATTGGTTTCATATTTTTGGTCATTGACCCCATAGTATTATCGTGGCATTCTTTATTGGACTACCAATCGCTTAGTTCATTATATCAAATTACCATGGTAATACTATTTTATACCATCAAACATGATGCCTTTGGTAGGGTGATCATATTCTCGTTGTTGTTGAGTTATGATTCCATCACAGAACATTCAGATTGTCAGTAATACTTTTGCAAGCATCCAGTCTCATATAATAAAGTAGCCTACTGTCTCACTTTATTATAGAAAATCAGATAAAAGCACATAAATGACCAGCAGGCTCTGCCTCAAGTCCCCATGAGCATTAACGCATTCATAAGCATTTAATTTAATTTTTTTTTTGCACATTACTTCATGTGCTAGTAATGGAGAATACACTGAGCTCTGTATGCAGAAACTCATTTGAATTCCTGGAAGAGATAGCTGGTCCCTGCAGTTAATTCATCTATTAAATAAAACTACTAGTGCTTACTGCTGTAGTTTCTGTTCCGAACTATTAGCTCTTTTCAAGTGAAATAGGAATTCAAATGAGTGCCCTGTTCTCTTTCAAGTTCTTATGAGCGAAATGTTTAGTTTTCTCTATTAATTTCTCATTGCTTCTGCATTATTTAGCGGTTGCTTTAAAGCATTTTTCTTATTAAAAATTCAGGGCAAGATCACAAATAAACTGTGATGAAATATTGAAAGGGTGCTCCCAACTTGATACTTTTAGGGCAGATTATTATTATTATGTATTTATTTTTTTATGGTGTTTTGATGATACAGGGTGCATAAATACAGGGTGCATAAGTCTGGGCACCCCTATGTTAAATTCCCATAGAGTCAGTCACATTTTTATTTTTAAAAGCCAGTTATTTATTTCATGGATCCAGGATAATATGCACCCTGATAAAGTTCGCTTGGCCTTTGGAATTAAAATATCCCCACATCATCACACACCTTCCACCACACCTAGAGATCGGCATGGTTTTACTTCAGTTAGCCTAATAGCTGGTTTGATTTGCATTAAAAAGATGATCTTATGGAAAGTACCCCATGCCAATCTCTAGGTGTGGTGGAAGGTGTGTGATGATGTGGGGATATTTTAATTCCAAAGGCCAAGGGAACTTTATCAGGATGCATATTATCCTGGATCCATGAAATAACTGGCTTTTAAAAATAAAAATTTGACTGACTCTATGGGAATTTAGCATAGGGGTGCCCAAACTTATGCACCCTGTATTTTAAGGAAAAACATTTATTTATTTATGATACATTATTCATTCACATAGAAAATTTGTGTCCTTAAAGGTTGGAGTTTTCCTCATTTTTCTAATTAAGGCATTAAGATCAATATCCAAAAGATGATTTTTTTTATTCCTCTTTTTAGGCAACTTTAGCATGGGTGCCTAAACTAATTCATACCACTGTATATTAATTATAGCAGCACTGTCCTTGTATGGCATCATATTTTTAGCCTTTTCAGTGAAACCAAATGATCAAAAAATAAAAATACCAAATGATTGTTAAATAATGATTAAGGGTCAAGCGCCCAACAAAAGCAAACACAGATGGTGACTTAAAAAAAATGACGTTTTCATGTGTTATCAGGTGTCTTCAATAATGCTCAATCATCACTCAATTATTAATTGTCTCATTAACTTTAACACTGCTTCAGTGTTTATATGAGTCCACACTCAGGGTGTTAATTTAACACTAGGTGAAGAAAGTCTTGTTTGTGTGAACTGAAGGTTTCAAAGAAAATCTGCCTCTACATACAACTGATATTTGTCTCATTGTACTTTTGCACATATTTCCACACAAATGAGACAACTTTAAAATGCTTGGTTTGTTACAAAATCATTATCAACTGTGTTCCTTGAATCTTCTGAGCTTTGTTTCACCAGACTGAAGGTGGGATGCTAACCCTATGGCAGAAACATATTATACCCCTGCAATCAAAACCTTAATGGGAAATCCGTGATTACTGAACACCCATCCCCCCTCCACCTCCATCGTCTTTGTGCAAGCTAGCGAGAGATACACATTATCTGATTGCACGAGTCCAGTCGACGCCAAAGTATTGCATTACGGAGCAGGATTAGAGGGCTGGTTGCACTGCAGACAAACACATGTATTGTGTATTTTCAATGGAAGGAGCAGTAAAGGCTCAGTGAGCCAAATGGTGAACACCTGAGAATGAAATCCCTGTGCCAAAAGATGGCAATAATACAGCTCATTCTTTTCCATCCATGCACAAATTAACTAAAAATGTAGTGTCAGTGTCACTAGGGTCACAAAAAAGTCCTCATTTATCACATACATTGTCTGTTGTCTATTACAGGTGGTGTTTCACAATGTTGAAGCCCTTACAGAGAAATTATTCCCCATCGTGGAAGCCATGCAGAAGCACTTCAGTGCAGGCTCCGGCGCGTACTACAGCGACGCCATCTTCTTCCTCTCGGTGGCCATGCATCGCATCATGCCTGCAGGTGAGATACGTGACTCGGCATTGCCAGTGTTTAGCAATTGCAACTTTAATTTAGCTGTTTTCAATATTGTAATGTTGATGTCCATTAATAAACCGGGCATTGTATATTACAATATTGTTAGCTCTTTGACAAATTGCTTCTGTTCCTCTTATGGAAGTTGTGGACAATAAAGTTAACTAAACTAAACCTAAAAGTCAAAATTTTGTAGTTTCTGCAACACTAGCATCTCCATTTGAAATGAACTGTTTCCAAACATGGAACCACATAAAGGCCATGAATTTCTACTTGTCGTCTATTTTTTTAATCTTGAGGGGAAAAAAGTTATTAAATAAAACATCTAAAAGCAATCAAAAATTGTATTGTATTAATAATAACAATTGTTGTTGTTAATTTTTTGTCTTGAGAATACAAGAAAAAAAAAGGGCAGTAACAGCAAGTGAGGAGCTTTCCCCAGCAGTGACAAAGAAGAAATCCAGTATTCTACGTTTGCATAGTCCAAAAGTTCTTTAAACATGGAAGGCTTGACAGCAGTTGTAAAACATAATATAAAACCATCAAAGACTATGACAAAATAAATAAATAAAGTAAATAAGTAAAGGGATTTGCTCCAAAGAATTGGTACATCTTCATAAAGTTGAGACATCGCACTTTATAAAGCTAATTGTCCAGAGAGCAAGAATACTGATACAGTAAAATAATAATAAAGTAATAGTAGTAATAATATAGTGGTTTTAACAAAAATGTATAAAGACAGGAATACATACAATAAAAATAAATAAATTAGTACTAATAATAATAATAAATAAGATATAAGTCAGCGGAGTTCTTGCCACCTTTCAAAGGCTTTTGTGATGTACATAAATTCGGGACTTTGTGCGTTCCCTCTCTTTTTCCCTCTTCTTTGCATTTTTCTGTTCATCCGAACGTCGTCTCTTTGTCTTTGGTCGTGTGTCGGCCATATCAAACTTAAAAAGATGGAACTTAAACTTAGAACTTAAAAAATATTTTACCCTAAAAAACGCAACTTTTGGCCTAAATGTATGTTTTGAAGTTGCATTCTGTCTGTTCTTAGTCGGAATAATTATACTGATTGAATTACGATTAACCCACTTTTGCACAACAATATTGTTCATTTTTACTTTATTTATCCTTAGAAAGGAAATTTAGTCTGCAGCAGGCTCTAAAAACAAAAATAAAAGCACCACCAGATGACCCAACTTTTCCATTTGAAAAGTGTCAGCTGCAGAACATCCAGTGTTCATGTAAACTTCCCCATCACACTTCCTGCCGCACATTCGAACCATGTTCTCTAAAGGTCAGTACATTCGGTCATCCTGAAAGGACATTTGGACATGAGGCCGCTGATGGTGTCATATGTGCCGACTCACTCACAGGTGCTGAACGGGCACATGGCACAGCGCTTGGCGGGGCGGTCCTCTGTGACACATCTGCCACTCACTCTCTCTCTCTCTCTCTCTCTCTCTCTCTCTCTCTCTCTCTCTCGCATTGAAACAAATGGCCATCCAGGCATGGTTTGCTGTGCCAGCAGAATGCCCATATGGGTTTGCTGCTGCACTAAATGCAAATCACTGGACTCCTGTCAGCCTAGCAAATCAATGATACCATGAGAGAGTAAAGACCTATGAGTGTTTGATAAAGCTTTTAGGTTCATGGCTGTGACGGATTACGGACGTCACTTTTCTTTCTTGCAACAAGCACGAATCTTAGTAAATAAAATAATTTAATAACAAAGTTTTATAAATGCAATATGTTTAGGTATCTGTTTCTCAAAAATCAGCAGTGATTGATTTTTATTGTTACTTTCAAAGATTATTATCAAAATACTCTAATTTTAAAGCAATTGCTATTCTGTAGTTATTTCCCTCTGGAAACGGAATGAAACAATCTGTTTGCTAAGAACGAACCGAAATGAAAACAATTAAGTTTGAATGCATGTATTTGACCGCCTACACCCATCCACTAGTGGGAAATCTTCCCAGGGCAGAACTGCTTCTCAAACTAAAATCAGGAAGCCCACTCTGGGGCCGGGCCCTCCCGTGGCGCTGACACTGTGTGTGCACCTTATTTATTCAGAAACTCCCCCCTGAGTTGTTCACTTTCCAGTTTGATTCAGTGGGTAGAGCCTTTGATTTTGCAATTGGGCCATTTATATCTGCAGGGGTGCCAAAGCATACAGTCAGAGTGACTTGTGTTTCTTTGTGTGTGGAAGGCGAAGTAAGGGATTTGAGAGCGTGACCTGACCCGCCTTTTTATTTTTACACTTTTCGAATTTCTACGTGAGACAAACAATTTGCAGGTTGACAGAAAGTAGGTCATTTCACTTTATTGTTCTCCCGCATGTCAACAACTTGACCTAACTTGACAAAATAAGGCAACTTATCACGTTCAATTTGTAAAGTTATCTCAACTAATTTGCTTCAATTAAAGTCAACTTAATACTTCTGCTCATCTAAGGAGTAGTCTTTTGAACTTAAAAATTCTTATCAAGACAACTAAAGATTGTCTAGCATTTAGCAATGCTTTTTTATCTTCTTTCATTCTGTTCATGTTCAAATTTAACTACATGATATGAACATTATTTGCCTCTTAAAACGAGAGGCAAACATTTCAACCTTGTTGGGCAAATAAATTGCATACACTCTTAGAAGAAATGGTTCTATTTAGAACCAGAAATGGTTCCATCCCCCGCTTCATATATGGAACTCCAAAATGGTTCTATATAGAACCATTTTTTTTGGTAAAAGGTTCTATTGACCAAGTACGGAACCCCAGGGTTCTATATAGAACCCAGAGGAACCCTTTTTTTAAGAGTGTATAGAACCTTTTAGGGGTTCCAAATACGTAGCGCTGATAGAACCTTTTAAGGTTCTATATAGAACCTTTTCTTCTAAGAGTGTACAAAAGTTGCATTGAGATGCACAGCACATCTCAAACATGGTGATGATCAACAAATGTCAATTCCATAAAATATTAACTTTTTTATTGAGCCAAAGCAGTGATCATTTTTAATAAGTTACCACATAATTTGTTCAAGCTGCAATGCATGCTGGGAACTGGCACAACATTTTTCAACATAAAATTGTTCAGATAATAATTTGGAAAGTTGGGACAACATTTGGTCAAGTTTTGGACAAATACTTGAGAATCTTAATGAGGTCAACAAAACTTTTTGAGTATTGTTTAGCTACTTTTCACATGAACATTTTGTGAGTTGGATTTTTTACAGTGTATGAATACACTCTATATTGAGTCAAGTCCTCGCAATTGAATTTTTTTTTTGTGAACTTTATAAGAACTGCACATTCAGAAAGTTTAGACGCTTGTGCATTAATCCAATGACCCATTATATTTGTTCCTCACTTACCAGTATTTTATTTTATTTTTTAGCATTTTGCAATTTTTCATTTCACTGGTAATAGTTTAGACTCTACAGAAAATTGGGGTCTGATTTTTCATCGTCTTTGAAAAAAGTTTCTTCTGCTCAAGGCTGCATTTATTTGATCAAAAATACCACTGTAAAAAAATATTGTTGGTTTAACTTAAAGTAAGTAACCTGGTTGCCTTAAAATTTTAAGTGCATTGAACTGGAAAAAGTGAGTTAATACAATGAAGGAGATTGATTTAATCATCAGAAACTCAAAATAATAAGTTATCTCAACTAAATAAATTATTCAAGTTGATTTGACAAAAGAAAAAATGATGTGATAACAAATCTTGAAAATATTTTTTTTTACAGTGTAGGAAGAGTAATATTGTGAAATATTGTAATTTAAAATGTTTTCTATTTGACTATATTTGAAAATATAATTTACTCCTGTGATGGTAAAGCTGAATTTTCAGCAGTGTCACATGATACTTCAGAAATCATTCTAATATGCTGATTTTCTGCTCAATAAATGCGTATTATTATTATTATTATTATTATTATCAATGTTAAGATTGGGTTACTTATCCCTTTAACACTGTTTTTTAATGCACTTTTGACCCACTGACTGACTGCTCATACCCACCTCGAGGAATTCCGTCCAGATTGCTCTGATTTCTCTTTACGTCCGGAGTAGGTCTGTCTGCTTGCATGACCCGGCTCTCCCGCCAGGCTCATTCCGGTCATCAAGTCTACCAAAAGGGGCAGTCAATACATGCCTGCTGAGAGGCCGAATTAGCGAGCCATGAGGAAGAGACTGACACCATTAGTCTCATTTAAACCATGATCCCTGGAAGACCACTGGCCCGCTGAGGAAATGAGAATTTCTGTGGGTCCAAAAGAGCGAGATTAGGTGCTCAGTAATGACCGTTTGTTTGTTCTTATGAAGTATTAATGGTGGAAAAAGAAGCAGCACATGCCCAGTGATTTAAAAAAAATAAACGCTCTGGTTTAATGTTCTCTCATATTGCTGTGAGGGATTTGGCTGTTCATTAAAGGAACATTGGGCCTGGAGGTGGGCTGGTATATTAACTACTTAGCCTAAATGATAACAGGAGCTGTGAAAATAATTGGGCCTTGTTTCAAATGGCTTTAAATCTGTTTTTATTGTGAAGAAGTCCCATCGTGAGTCGCAGCTCGTGAGGGAACAGAAAAAGCCCTTGTTTTAAGACTTTCCACTTTTTCACTGCCTCAAGAGTGTTGTCAACAAAGTCAGCTTCTGTTAGTGTTTTTTTAGCAGTCGTTATTATTGTGTCTGCTGGTAAATGGAAAAGCTATAAAATCTAAAGGTAGATTTTTAAAATATTTATACCTAATCACGTTGATGCTTTCATTGATCAATGATACTGATATTCATCCAATATTTATATTTTATTTTAGCTTTATTTCAATTAACTAAAATATTTTTTTTTATAGTTTTTAGTTGACAATAACAGTGCATAAAAAGCATTAGTGACTTTTTTTTTTATTTGTCGCTTTAATATTTTGCATTTGGATATATATATATATATATACACTCACCGGCCACTTTATTAGGTACACCTGTCCAACTGCTCGTTAACACTTAATTTCTAAGCAGCCAATCACATGGCGGCAACTCAGTGCATTTAGGCATGTAGACATGGTCAAGACAATCTCCTGCAGTTCAAACCGAGCATCAGTATGGGGAAGAAAGGTGATTTGAGTGACTTTGAACGTGGCATGATTGTTGGTGCCAGAAGGGCTGGTCTGAGTATTTCAGAAACTGCTAATCTACTGGGATTTTCACGCACAACCATCTCTAGGGTTTACAGAGAATGGTCCGAAAAAGAAAAAACATCCAGTGAGCGGCAGTTCTGTGGGTGGAAATGCCTTGTTGATGCCAGAGGTCAGAGGAGAATGGCCAGACTGGTTCGAGCTGATAGAAGGGCAACAGTGACTCAAATAACCACTCGTTACAACCAAGGTGGGCAGAAGAGCATCTCTGAACGCACAGTACGTCGAACTTTGAGGCAGATGGGCTACAGCAGCAGAAGACCACACCGGGTGCCACTCCTTTCAGCTAAGAACAGGAAACTGAGGCTACAATTTGCACAAGCTCATCGAAATTGGACAATAGAAGATTGGAAAAACGTTGCCTGGTCTGATGAGTCTCGATTTCTGCTGCGACATTCGGATGGTAGGGTCAGAATTTGGCGTCTACAAGATGAAAGCATGGATCCATCCTGCCTTGTATCAACGGTTCAGGCTGGTGGTGGTGGTGTCATGGTGTGGGGAATATTTTCTTGGCACTCTTTGGGCCCCTTGGTACCAATTGAGCATCGTTGCAACGCCACAGCCTACCTGAGTATTGTTGCTGACCATGTCCATCCCTTTATGACCACAATGTACCCAACTTCTGATGGCTACTTTCAGCAGGATAATGCGCCATGTCATAAAGCTGGAATCATCTCAGACTGGTTTCTTGAACATGACAATGAGTTCACTGTACTCAAATGGCCCCCACAGTCACCAGATCTCAATCCAATAGAGCATCTTTGGGATGTGGTGGAACGGGAGATTCGCATCATGGATGTGCAGCCGACAAATCTGCGGCAACTGTGTGATGCCATCATGTCAATATGGACCAAACTCCCTGAGGAATGCTTCCAGCACCTTGTTGAATCTATGCCACGAAGAATTGAGGCAGTTCTGAAGGCAAAAGGGGGTCCAACCCGTTACTAGCATGGGGTACCTAATAAAGTGGCCGGTGAGTGTATATATATATATATATATATATATATATATATATATATATACTGTATATATAGTTGCAAACAACTACAATTTTCTACTTTTTTGTCAGTTTGATGGAAAATAAAGGAAAGACTAAAAATATTAAAATAAATAAAATCATGAGTGACTTTTTTTATTTGTCGCTTTAATATTTTGAATTTGGATATATATATATATATAGTTGCAAACAACTACAATTTTCTACTTTTTTGTCAGTTTGATGGAAAATAAAGGAAAGACTAAAAATATTAAAATAAATCAAATCAAAGTGATTTGCAAGACCACTTAATATACTGTTTTATCAACATTTAATCCAAATCCAAAAGGCATTTGAACAACTAGTACATTTTCATATGCTTTAAAGAACAAAGTAGACCTAAGATTTTAGATATCCCAGATATTTCTTATCAAAGGTAGTCAGACTGTTTTGTGTAAACATTATAAGTCACATGCCAGTGGATTAATCTTTACAGTAGAATTGAGTAACTGTACTAAGGAATTTCTGTCAGGATGAAAACATGCATGCATGTCTTAAAGGGATGGTTCACCCAAAAATGAAAATTCTGCCATCATTTACTTACCCTCAGGTTATTCCAAACATGTGTGAATTTCTTTGTTCTGTTGAACACAAAGGAAGAGATTTTGAAGGACGTCTGCTTCACCTGCCACAAATTCTGAAACGATTGTCCTCATGTGATCTCTCATACCAGATTTAACTACGGCTGGATTTTAATCTCATAATGTGCTTGACCTACATTAGCCTATATCACTTACTGTTGTTTTCACCAAGGAAAGCATCAAAGCCATAATCCACGGAGAACAGATGGAATTCCACCTGCTCCTTACATTTAGTTGGGACCAATTGATAATTAAAGTAGATTACTATCCCCGGGTATTGTTAACCACCTTAATATGGCTTTAAATTGTGAATGTGCAGTACATTTGCCGGGAGATTGTATCTAAAAAGAAGGGGAAACCTAAACGATGCAGATATTTCCCAAGATGATGCTGCTAAAAGCTGGTACAAACGTATTAGATCTGTGACACTTTTCTGAAAGTGTGTCAAGCTTCGGTGCTTCCAGTCGTTTTAGATGTCCAGGCTATTTTTGAGCATGTGCAAATGTGTGTTCCCTACTTCCCTTGGGTGAAAAGATGATGGGAATGTATCCGTGTATGTACTTTGCTAAAACTAAACTAGAAATTGTTTAAGGCTCCATAGGCATGTTTCCAGCACCCAAGGCCATGATGGAGCTGGTGAACTCCACATGGACCCGTTTCTTGAAAGTCTTCTTCGCTTCAGGCCGCAGAGGCCCAATGAGATGAATTAGTGCAGTCGTTAATGCTTCAAAGGCGCATTTTAACCTGCTTGCTGACATGCCCTCGGGTGCACATCAAACCTCTGTGGCTCATCCTGCCCAAAGCGCTTGTGCCTCTTTTGATCTGGTGTACTGTGACGCATGGGTTTTATTTTTGGAGATACTCCCTGGTAAAAAAATTATCCCTATTAAATTTGAGGCAACGTGAGGCACCAAACTGAATCACAAAATGCTAACCGTTTAAAACTGCAATGCATTGTTCGGCAATGAAATTTTTGGTGGTACTGTGGCTGGTAACTATTTTTAATTGAAAGTCGGTGTGAAACGGAAGTTGAGATTCATTTTTGCATGTCGTGACATATATCCTAGTGAAACGGCTTCTGAAATTAGAAAAAATATAGGGCAGGGCTTGATTTCAGCCTTCGGGAATTGATTGGATCTTTGGAGGTTGGGCGTTGCAAACAATTTGAATGCGATTCTAGCCGCACCTTTGTCGGATCTGGCCGCACCCTTTTGCCATTTAACGTGACCAAAAGAGAGAGAGATCGTTTCGAAGGGGGAGGGAAGGGTAATGTATTTGATTAAAGATTTCAAGGGTAAGTTACATGAATTTTAAAAAAATAATGAAGTGCACGGATAAATTATTTATAATAAACTCTACAATAGAAGATTTGTCAAATTTGATTTCATGCCGACTGATGTTGTAAATCTTCACCGCCTTTTTTGTTGTTGTTTTTATAGCTCTCTTCTAAATCAAGTCACACAATGATTAAAATGAAATCACATGAAAACAATACAATGTAGCCTACTGACATAATTTGTTAAAGGAGTAGTTCACTTTTGAAAAAACTTGCTGATAATTTACTCACCCCATGTCATCCAAGATGTCCATGTCTTTCTTTCTTCAGTCGAAAAGAAATAAAGGTTTTTGATGAAAACATTCCAGGATTTTTCTCAATATAATGGACTTCAATGGGAACCAAACGGTTCAAGGTCCAAAAGACACTTTCAGTACAAACTTGCAAACTGCTCAAAGGGGTTTTAACGATTTCAGACGATGAATAAGGGTCTTATCAAGCAAAACGATCGCTCATTTAATACATAAATAAATATCAAACTTTAAGTTTTATAAGCTCTGTACTGCGATGCACGTTTGTGAACAAAAGATTCTAAATGAACAAATCTTTTTCCGAGTCATTTGGTTCATTCAACGAACGAAACGAACGAATTGACTCAGAAAAAGATTCGTAGACACCTACTGTAGATGTGCTTCCTGATTCATGGAAATTCAGCACTTGTCCTCCTTTTATCATCGCTCATCATGAAGTGTTTTGTTGTCAGCCTGTGTGTTTTGAGGGGAGCGCTGAGATCGTTGATATTGATTCGTCTAGTTTCCGGTGCTTGTTTGGAGAGACGTCGGTGTGAAATCCCTGACCGACTAAACAGCTCTGGCTGGCCGCTCTCTGCTCATTGTTCTAAATACAACAAGCATAGTTCGGGCCCCCTATGTTTTGCTTTCCGAATGTGTGTCTTTGTGTGTCCTGCCTCTTCTCCACAATGGAGCGTCCAGAATGTTGTCTTGAGGGCTTTGTTGTCCAGTGTGCTCACACGAACACCCTGAGGCCATCCGACATGAGAATTGCCCTCTGGGTGATCATGTGCCATCATTTGTTATTTTATGTTTTCTGCATTAGTACACAACAATCCCTTATTGACTGCATGTCTCGCTGCTCACAACAACCTGTAGGATAAGGTTATTTATGTGTTTGTTGATTTCAAACAGAATTCTTTGCATTTCTCTTTCTTTTGTCCCCTAGAACTGAAGCGCATTGTTCAGTTGGATCTGGACCTCAAATTCAGAAGCAACATCAGAGACCTCTTCCTAGAGTTTAACCATTTCCCTTCTAAGGCCGTCATTGGAATTGCACGTGAAATGCAGCCAGTTTACAGGTATCTGACGCAGCTCTATTTACAGTAATTTGATCTCAAATTTAAATGCTCCATATACTGATATATCTGGTGCAGTCATATAAAAACTAGGGCTGTCAAACGATTAATCGCGATTAATCGCATCCAAAATAAAAGTTTGTGTTTACATAATATATGTGGGTGCACTGTGTATAATTATTTTATATATATAAATACACACACATGCTTGTATATATTTAAAAGATATTTTCAGGTATATACTGTAAATAGATTTATATATAATTTATATATAAATATTTTATATATAAATAATATTTTTTTCTTATTTATACATGCATGTGTGTCTTATTTATTTATTTATTTATTTATATATATGCGATTAATCGAGATTAATTGTTTGATAGCCCTAATAAAAACATATAAAAAAAGCGCTATGCAATATATATTGCCATATGGCTGATAAAATATAAATAATATGACATGGTACCATATCAGTTATGATGTTTGTTTTAAAATGTATTGGTATTGCTTGAAAAATTGCTTGAAATTAATTTGCCAATCATCGATATATTTTGTTTTTAATGATTGTTTTATAATTGTATAGTTGTTAAATGCAAAGCAAATCTTCTTACATTATAATGTTGGTTTTCTTGTTTTATTTTTATATTTATTTACACAAAATAGAATTTTAACACCTGTGAAAATAATGTTAATTTTGGTGCATTCCATTGTAATTTTAGTATTATTTATATTGAATTTGTTTTTATTTTAATATTTTCAGCTTCATTAGAATTATGTGCTTTTGTCATTTTTATCAGTTAGCTTTTTCAAATTTAGTTGTAACCTTGTGTTTTAGTTGCCAGGGTTTTCATTGTAATATTTTTTCAACATCAAAATGAGTTTTAGATAACAATAACAAGACTGATGCAATCCTACCAAAAAGTACCATAATACCACTTTGTTTTGCATTTTACATGGTGATACCATGATAATTTGGAAGTTTACCATGGTCGTACAATGATAATTATGATGGTACATAATCATGGTTTATATCAATCTCATGGTATTACCATCTGATACACTAGTACCATCACTGTACACATCAGAGTACTGTTTTGGCAATACTAGGAAAGTATTAATACTCTAAATCAAACATACAAAGGAAATAGAGGTGCAGGCTTATTTTGCATTTAAGTTTAGCAAAGCTGTGACATTGGCAGCTCTAGCACAGTCCTACTGTACAGTTTGATCAAAACAAATCCTGAAAGAGACTTTGGACAACCTCTTCTCCTGTTTCCCTTGCCAAAGAGAACGTCGAAATGGTCAATGCCGTTTGTCTTGTGGCCTGGCAAAGTCAAAGCTTGACATGAAACTGGGACGAATAGAGGTGGAAGCCTTTTCAGAGTGTTTTCTTCAAGAGCCGTCACGTGACTGGAGCTTTTAGAAACGGTTTCCTGAGAGCTCTAGTGTTCAGTCACCGAAACATGAGGAAGCTCAGATTGGTGATAGGAATTCACAAAGGAGGCTGTTTTCTTTTTCTGGTTGCTTTCTACTACTGTGTTTGTGTGGTTCTGTGTATGTGTGATAGATGGATAGGCTGTAGGGGCTTGTGGCCTTAACCCGCACAAACCTTACTTTCCTAGTTCATAAATCTTTCAGTCTCCTTAAACAGGTGCAAATGTATTTAACAGCTTTAATTATTAGGATCTTTAACCGACGGTGTCAAGACCGTCGTTTTAATCTGATAAAACATGTCTGATCGAGCATACAGACATGTTTTATCAGATTAATGTTGATTTTGATTAATGAGCAGTTAATGGATGACAATAGATGGCGCTATAGTCTCCAGCATTCCCTTGTTGGATGTTGTTACTTGTTTTCCTTTTTCTTGTTGTCCTACATTTCCATTAGATATGCCACTTCAGGGCCACAAGTCTTTGTATAAGAAAACAACAGCAAATTGTAGCAAGCACGTCTCTATGTGAGCATAAGTAATTCACCAAATTGAAAACCTTGGTCCTTGCCATATTTTACTCACTCGATTTGTCATTTTAGCTCATATTATAATTTGTTCTCCTTCCTTGAAAGCATTTTGACATAATTGTCATCCCAAAAAAGCGATACAATAGCTTTGCATGAGTTTTTTTTTTTTTTTATGATGTTATACATTTTATAATTTCAGGCCAAGTCAAGATGGAACAAAATGTAAATTGGGAGTGCACTGTTTCTTTAAGTAACAGAACTCAAAGTAAACTCCACAGTTTTTAATGTACTTTTACTGTATTTTTGATCAAATGATGCTAAAAATTTGATCAAAAGAAATTTGATTTTTTTTTTTTTTTTTTTTTTTCAAAAATCTTGCTGACCCAAAATTGTTGATAGTTGGTTACTGTGAATGATGATCAAACAGAATCAAGTATTCCAGAGAGCGATGTCAATTGAAGAGTGATATTGATAGATGTGACCTTTCCTGACCTGGTGTTATAAATTCACTATTGTTTTTCCATCCACCCATACAAGCATTTTGAAATCTAGCACGTAAAATTTCATAATTTATCATTTTGTAGAGGATCCTGAAAGTGAACTATACTTGATGCGGTAGATGTTCAGGCTTTCAGCTGTGTGAGGAGCTAATAGGATTTCTGGAAAAATGTCCCCCTTGAGTGCTCCTTCTCCACAACAGATTGCAGGTTTTCCACAACAGTTATCTGACTGCACACACAACTACTGTACGCAAACAATTGAGAAGAATAAAAAAAGCATAATCGACCGCCGAGATATCTGTGGTGCGTCAGCAGCAGCCGCACTGGGCTTTGGTGATGACATCTAACACCTGTGCCAGAACATGGTCGCTCTAATTCAATTTTGGTCTTTTCTAAGCTTCTGCCCGGCTGGCACTGGTCTTGCGCTTTGTTGGCGACGCTGCCTACTGATGCAGCGTGCTCGGGCGTGAGTCCTGGCATTGAGGTGCGTGCTTCTTTCGGTGTTGTTGCATTACTCTTTCTGCAGCTGAGGCTGAAATAACACACAGCAGGGATGAAGTTTTCTCTCCAGAGCACTGTTTTTTAGCTAGTGAAGTTATTTTAGCTAATGTGCTTTTTAGCTAATGAAGCGAGACTTTACAAACAAATAATAGACTTTTTTTAGCATGGTGGGTGTAACTATTTTGGGATTCACATCTGAAAGGCTTAAATTACATTTTCTTGTTTATTGGTTCAGTTGTTATGCAGGTTGTCTTTTTGATTTTCTTCACTTTACATGGGATGGGAGTAAACTGGTTGTCATTTATCCAGAGCAACTTACAGCATGCCATGAGCAGACAACACAAAGCATCAGGCTTTGCAAAACAATTATTTCCTAATTAGTATTTTTGTCTTGATTTCCATACATTTATGTGAAGCGAAATATGTTTAAGCTTTTATATATTATATATATATATATGAAGAGTTCAGATGCAAAAGCCTCTAAATGCCATTTGAAATTTTCTTCTTTAATGATGATTTTTATAAAACTTGTATATTTAAGTTCAGTAAATTCACTTAAATAACAATTAATAGGTAATTATCATTGCCATTTAAGTGAAATCACTGAACTTAAATACACAAGCTTGATAAAAATGATCATTCTAGAAGAAAATTTCAAATGGCACTTAGAGGCTTTTGCATCTGAACTCTTCATATACAGCGGCTGACAATAAAGGTGACATTTATGACAAGTAAGACTTTTTAAAGAAGAAAAACCACGAATACATGTTATATTGCACCCCATAAACACAATCATGCAAAGAAAAAAAGCAGTAAACCATCCCTTTAAACAATTTTGAGAGTGGCATGGTTGTTGGTGCTGAGTATTTCACAATCTGCTCAGTTACTGTCATTTTCACCCACAAATCTCACTAAAAATGGACCGTTGAAGACTGGAAAAATGTTGCCTGGTCTGATGAGTCTCGATTTCTGTTGAGACATTCAGATGGTAGAGTCAGAATTTGGCGTAAACAGATTGAGAACATGGATCCATCATGCCTTGTTACCACTGTGCAGGCTGGTGGTGGTGGTGTAATGGTGTGCGGGATGTTTTCTTGGCACACTTTAGACCCCTTAGTGCCAATTGGGCATTGTTTAAATGCCACGGCCTACCTGAGCATTGTTTCTGACCATGTCCATCCCTTTATGGCCACCATGTACCTATCCTCTGATGGCTACTTCCAGCAGGATAATGCACCATGTCACAAAGCTCGAATCATTTCAAATTGGTTTCATGAAATGAGTTCACTGTACTAAAATGGCCCCCACAGTCACCAGATCTCAACCCAATAGAGCATCTTTGGGATGTGGTGTAACGGGAGCTTCGTGGCCTGGATTTGCATCCCACAAATCTCCATCAACTGCAAGATGCTATCCTATCAATATGGGCCAACATTTCTAATGCTTGTTGAATCAATGCTATGTAGAATTAAGACAGTTCTGAAGGTGAAACACAGGCTTCAAGGAAGGGTCAAACACAGTATTAGTATGGTGTTCCTAATAATATATATATATATATATATATATACATACACACGCACATTTTGACTAAAAAACAAGATTTCTTTTTGTAAGTGTAAAAGCTATTCTGAGTTTGAATATTTTGCTTGCTGCTTTCCCAGACCTTTACAGTAATGAAATTTAATTTGCAATTAATTTGTTCTCATTTTATATATAGGATATTCAATTAGAGATTTGAACATATTTGTAGCTTGTATGGAATTTCTTGTGGGATGTGAAGAGGTTCGAGAGCTCAGGATTACTTGAGCCCTCATATATCTGTTGTGAGCCTCTCTCTTCCACCGGCCTCTGCTCCGACCGGACCGGGGCACAAAATGGAGTGTGGCAGCGTGCCAGGTCTGCAATCCTCGCTGAGCGCACGGCTAAGAATGAATGCAAACACAGAGCTGGGAATTCTCTAATCAACAACTACACACATCCTTTGTCTCCCTGTGGAACTTTAATTATTTGTTTTTTTAGTACTCCTGTTTACTTATT